GGATCCCACAATCCAGTACATAGTATTTTTCGTTCTTGTTCATACGACAGAAAAGAAAGAAAATCTGGATCGGTACTAACATTGGATCTAAGAAACTATATCAAGCAAATAATTGCACCAGATACTTTAATAGGCGTCCCAATTCAATGTTTGACTGTGTTAACAACACGAGTCCGGACTTTTCATACATGTACTAGAATTAGGCCCCAGGCCTACACAATGAAAGACTTTGGGCAAGGGAAAAAAAGGAGGGAGGGGGGAGCTCAATGAAAAGGAAATATTTGGGTCTAAAAAGTTTCATTTTCTTTATACTATCGAATAAACTAAGGCACAATGTGAGGTCAGTGATTATAAAACATTACCGAAATTGATTAACTTTTCGAACTAAAGTTTAAAAATCTCTTTGCGATGTATTTCCCCTTTTTGTACATTTCAAACAATGAAGAGAGGGAGCCAAAAACTCAAGGCGAAAATGCGTGACTCTGCGCGATGTCACGGTGGAAGGGTTCAGCTGTGTTTTCGCGGATTTGGTTGATAAAAGGGTAAGACTACACTAGCCAAGGTAAGACTTCTACGATAACCTTTTAAACGTTTTCTGGAAGAACAAAGAATAGTTTACCAACAAGGTTAGTTTGAAAAAAATATGACGAGAAAATTTATAAAAAATCAATGGTTAAAAATTGTCTATTTTTCAACTTGAACTTGAAATATTTCGAGACTCATTAGTCGCACATCGACCTGGAAAGAAGCGTTTTGAAGGCCATCCACAGGTCTTTAAAGACATGTATCGGACTTGACTGTTGGTCCCCTAAATTAAACAAAAATATGGGCTGTTTGAACCCACTGTCGCGATGAGACGTCATGTCCGGAAACAAAACCCTATGGGACTTTCCGAAGCCAAATGACGCTATAGTGAGCGCGGTCACTAAAGTGCCTAGATTATGTCTACTTCGCACTCAAGCACGCTTCGGCTTTAAGCACGCTTAAGCTTTCTCCCGACGACCGTGCTTAAAGACGGCATGGACTGTATTATTTTATCAGCAAAACATGCATTTATCATTCAGCCTTTCTCTAATTACTATCAGAACATTTATTGTTAGCATGGCACTAATATTTTTTGTTTATTGACTTTCTAACCACCTATAGTTCCTGTTGACATTTACTCATCGTTTTCTCCCCTCTAATAATAACTTACCTGTCCCATAGGACTAGGAGTCTGGCCGGCGAAAGGAGGAATTGTCTAGTGAAGATATATAGAATTTTAACGAGGAGCAATAGGCACTCGGCTGTCAGAGTCTGGGCCAGGCCTACCCCCTCCCTTCCCTCCCTTTTTCCACCGTCACCCCAGCTAGACACCAAGTTCTATAATCAGCATTTGACACACTGCCCCACTTGTTTACAATTACAACACAGTGTTCTGTTCTGAGAAGTGAGAAGTGCGTTGAAGAAAAAAAAATTGATGATATAAATTATAATGACCGGAAACTGTTGTGTGCAAACTTTGTCCAGCTTTGTATACTATCTGATTGTAGACTTGATCTGCTTGGGACAGCGTCACTGGTACAGTATCAATTAACTTTTTGTCATCATACAGGACAGTTCTTATTACATATTTAACGGGTCCAGTGCACGTCGATATTTTGTGTGGGGTTGTAGAAAGTACGAGAAAAGTACTGAAGGCCAGGACCAGCAGTTTATTGCCTCTCACTTTCAGTTTGTTTTCTGGCCTAGTAGTGTTTTTTTTCTGTGCTGATCAAGTCAGTTTCTATTATTCTCAGTAACTTCTATCATACGTTATTCATAATGTTGTTTTTTGACACTGTCGCCTATTTTAGCTCTTTCACAGAATATTACAATGTTTACAGTGGTGTGTGTGTGTGTGTGTGTGTGTGTGTG